GACTAAGACACAAACAACACCCTAACCCCACCCCACCGCTCCTGATTTGTTATGCTAAACTGGCTCAGAATTTGGTTTCACTTCTCTTTCACATGTCTTTAATTCGGTTTCTTCACATAAGACTCTTTCGTGGTTAAGGTGTACACTTGTGGATATCTGCCACTTGATGTACGTAGAACCCCCACATCGTTAATGTTAGAACCTTGGCTCGAGGCATTTTCTTTACCCCTTCTTACTCTGAAAAATTAGGGGCACATCGCGTCCTTGAACCGATAACCACTTTCCGGCTAACCTAGCCTCCTCCGTCCCCTTGGACCGACAAGGGGTAGTACAGGAATATTCACCTATTTATGTGGCAGGACGCACCTTCTTTTCTGCGTGCGAGCAGTGAATCATCGACATTAAAGTTTTGGTAGCGTGGAGTAGGTTGATCAACTTTCTACGTCGCTTGGGCTTTTGAGGTGATTAGACCTTCTTCGCTACTACATGGGCCCTTTGAACCTGAACTTTAAGCCTTTTGCTTTGAGCTGAGCATAAATTTCAAGTCTTCTCGTTGACCTTTTTTGTCCGACTCTACTACAATTTTGACGCAAACAATCACTATAACAAAGAAACTTAATTCTTGAAAATGTGGGGAAGCAAGTTTCATATTGCTCTCAATATCATAATTTGATTGAAAGGAACAAGAGAATTTCTTAATTATTATTTTTAAATTACGAAATCCTTGATGACATAGGTGCTTCTTGAAAGGTAGTTTTTCTGGAGGGAGGAAGAGAGTGGGGACAGAAGAAAGTATAGTTTGGTCATTGGTGATGCAATGGGCGATATAAAATAGTGAACCTGCCAATCGCAAAGCAAAAAATTTGTCTTTGGTAAACTTTAGAGTTCAAAGCAAATTTGAATGCGTCGGTTGAGATAATATATATCATTACTTTAATTATCTGGTCAATAAGTTTTTTGATTTTCGTAGTTGGTAATTAGAAGATGGAATTTCATTTTAATATGATACAAATGCGCATATCTTAATTGTTATGAATGTGAAATCCCGTCCATGTATTTCACTATTTAAATTACGTCGTATTTCATATTCTTATTCGTAGTTCGACGCGTTTATATTTACGGCATATAAACTTTTCGATAAGTGAAATGATGAAAACGCCCTTTAATGAACTAAACGGAATTTTCGTGAACATATTTGATCCTCTCATGTTTTTCTAGATTTCTTTACATATTTGGATAGTACGTGTCGATACGAATGCGTTAGCGCAAACAAATTGTAATTTGGAGTTATAAACGATTGAAATTGAGGGCAAAAATGGTCCTTTAATTATTAATCTAGAAGGCTTCAAATTTGTTGGAGCAGGAAAGGCTGGGATGAAGCCACATGTGTGGCTATAATGGAAGGAAGAGAAAGAAAGAGAGGAACGTTCCATATACCAAAAGTATGTAATAACTTTTCATACATAGCTCAAATTGGGTATATGAATATACCACAATGACTTACACAATCTCATGATCGTCCCCATATTTTTAAAATAATTTTTCATCCACCCACGCGCCGGTTCATGTTCTTCTTTTCTTGGGGAGGGAAGCAAAGAAACAGGGAGGAGGTGGCTCTTCCATAGCTTTTGGAAGAAAATTTCTTCTTTCTTCATACAAAAATCGGAGAGAGTGTTGGGCAGAGAAATTGAGAGTTAAAGAACGTGATTGTGAATGAAGGATTCAGAGATTTGAAGGGTTAATTCCTTGTTCCTTGATTATCTTGATTTTCGAATTTAATTTCCTTAAGTTGAATTGAAACAACCATGATATGTTTGGAGTTCGTAGTTTTATTTAGGATTTTCTATCATTCAATGAATCAGTCTAAACATGAATTAGAGTTGGGTAATTCGGATTGGGTGTGCAGATCAAATTTCTTGATCAAGGGTTTGGTTCAAAATGTCAATTTCTTGTTAATTTTGAGTCATGTTAGTTTTGGATGTTGTATACATGACTTCTGGACTACCTTGAAGTATTTTGGGATGTTATATGAATTGGAAGTGGGATGTTACGTAAGTTGCATAAAATTGATTTCTTTGCAAAGAAAGCTCAAGTTTCGAGTAGGCCTTCTTTGGCTCTTAATTTCTAGATCTTTATGTGCTCATTTGGAGAAATTTTTTAGTGTGTTGAAAGTACATATGTTCATGATCATAACCCAATTGTTTTCACTCAGTTCCGTTGAGTTTTGGTTGATCAAAACCTTATTTAAACTTGGGTCGCGAGCTGCCAAACAACAGCAGAAAACTGGGTTTCCAGTTTCAAGACTCCATTTTTCTTTTTGGCATAACTTCCAATTTAGAGCTCCGTTTTTTACAAACTTTATATGCTTTTAAAGTACAGAACACAAGCTTCAAAACCCATATAATATTACACGATTTGGTTTAGTTTTGAATGTTCCAAAGGGAGCCTAAACTTGGTCCGGTAGTGCTATTTTCTGCATATTTTGTGGAGAAGCATAATACTGTTTTTACCACACCTATTTTCTTTTCCAGATTCCTTTCTAATTTTCTTTACTACTATTTGAGTGATATTATTTGAGTTGTAAGATTCCAAAATCAGTGTACTTTCTTTAGATATTATTAATTTTGCGATTAAACACTTAGTTTGGTTATTAACGTGTGTTACTTGTATTTACACTTTTGATTGTACTTTTGTGTTCCGATTGGGTTCTTCAAAGGAACAAAATTAATCGAATTCAAGGTAGGGAGTTCTGGGAAACCTTATATGTATTAATCTAATTACTGCTTACTTTTGGTCAATATGCTACGAATTGATCTTAAATATTAAAATCAGTATTACTAGAGACTATGTAGGGTTTAGTGGGCCTATATTGGTTAGTGAGTTATCCCATATAATATATACATCGGTTTACGTGTATGGAACGTCATATTGTGATATATATATGTGTGTGTGTGTGTGCGTGCGTGCATGCGTGTGTGTGTGTATTTATCTTCTTAATAATGTGAATATAAGTATGATAAATGTTATGACAATGTGATCCTAGAATCCTATTAAAAGTATTATGTATAACTTATATGCTTGTGTGACATATTAGTTGGTGGTCATGAGAAGTTGATTGTGCAGGCGACTACGTTGTAACTCATAGGGGTTGAGGTATGGGTAGGTTGTGTGTTGAATTTACTGTACCATGTAGCAGTGGTACATGGATGGTTCTACTTAGTATATCCGCGTTAGGGGACCATACGTATTTCAGGGGTGATCATGCTTGGTATATTCACGTTGGGTGATCACTACCTGCACGATGAGATTATGCTATGGTTCTACTTGGTATATCCGCGTTGGGAGACCATACACATTCTAGGAGTGATTATGCTTGGTATATCCGCGTTGGGTGATCACTACTTAGAGATAGAGGATACAGTCCTGCTTGGTATATCTGCGTTGGGGGACTGTTAGGGATGGTCATGCTTGATATATCTGTGTTGGGTGATCATTGCCTACGTTATTAGATTATGCTTATGGTTCTGCTTGGTATATCTGCGTTGGGAGACCATACGCATTCTAGGAGTGATCATACTTGGTATATCCGCGTTGGGTGATCACTGCCTAGAGCTATAGGAAACAGTCCTGCTTGGTATATCCGCGTTGGGGGACTATTAGGGGTGATCATGCTTGGTATATCCGCGATGGGGGGACCATACGCATACTAAGGGTGATGAGAATTGGTTGTACTTGGAACATTTTGGTAGGTGCCATATTTAGTTGGATTCCGTTGAGTGGTCCAGAATCCTTGCTCTTACTAATTTTCATAAGGTTAGTCCGACCCTATATTCGAGGGAATGGGGTGTAACCACAATAGACCTGGTGAATATAAATGAAATTCACCATGTTAATACTTATAATCCAAATGGGGATTTAAGTAGAGTTCTTTAATTAAATTCGTGAAATGATATGTTATTCCATTGATTGATTAACGTAGTTAGACGTTAATATTGGGCATCTTTGATTCATGGATTTGATTAATTGATGTGATTATGGAGTGTCGTTGTATATTGATTGTTATTATTATGAATAGATTAGTAGATCAATGTGGCTTGAGAATATAATATTATGTTTCGTTGGTTCTTTGATATGTTACATGTTGTGGATTGAGGTATCATGATGAAAACATAGTGATTTATATGATGGATGGAATGGAAATCTTGAATGTCATGTGGGTTTCTTATGTAGCTCTGGACCTAGAAATTTCATGCTTGTCAAGTTTTAATAAATGATTGAGGAATGTCAAGCTTTTCTGCTTGAACGTACTGTGATAAACGACAGAGTGTAGTGAATGGTGAACTACAAATGACTTGATCCCTTTTAGGGTACGTAGGCAGTCTAACGAGGAGGTTAGATGTAGCAAAAAAGTATACGAAAAATTAATATGCGATTCGATTCTCTAGTTGTGCTTTGCCATATCCCGGAGGTTGGGTAAGTTAGAGATATGGGTATTTGGTGACGTCACGTGTCGATTTTGGACGTAGGTCAAAATTGGGGCGTGACAACTAATGTTGAGATCAATTCCAGATCTATGTGTTTGGAGCACGCGGACCAAGAGATTCAGACCATTCAAAAGAGAGAGAAAGAGATTTGAGACATTTAAGTATTTATGTTTTGTGAAGTAGGCCAATTAAATGAGTTAATATGGGGCGTAAAATTGAATATGAGTGGTCCAAATATCTTGGTCCGCATGCTCCGAAACAGAAATCGGGAGTGAAACTCGATCCAAGAAAATGTTTGCGCATGTTTTTTTAATAATTTTCTTACTTTTTTATTGAAGACTTGTCAAGCAGGTTTTTGCTACCAACTTTCCAAGCAAGTTAAGAAAATGGTCTATATAAAGCTGCTTCCAATAGCTTGAACTCAACATCAGATCCAAAACTAGAGAGAGAGGCTGTGAGTCTGAGAGAAAGAGGGAGAGAGAGATGGCAGAGTAAAACAAAGTGACCTTGCATGGAATGTGGGCAAGCCCTTATGTAAAGAGGGTGGAATTGGCCCTCAAACTTAATGGCATACCCTATGAATATGTGGAAAAAGACTTGAAGAACAAAAGCCCATCACTCCTCAAGTTGAATCTTGTTCATCAGAAAGTTCCAGTGCTTGTCCACAATGGAAAACCGATTGTTGAGTCTCTTGTCATCCTTGAATACATCGATGAAACCTGGAAAACTGGACTTCTTCCACAAGATCCCTATAAAAGATCCCAAGTTCACTTATGGGCCGGCTTTATGCAACATGTAAGAGTACTCGAGCATGAATACTGTTGGCTCCTTATAACATAGAATAAATACTGTTTGGCTCCTTATACGTAAAAAGTCATTCATTTATACGCAACTTATCAAATAAATGTTTGCGGAAACATGTCGACCGTGATTTATCTGCAAGAAAAAAAAGGCTCCTTAAACGTAGCTAACTAAATTATTAATCTTTGGTACAGGTGTTTGAGAGCATGGTCTCAGTGTTGAAAACCAGTGGGCAAGCACAAGAGAAAGCCATCAAAGAAGTGAGTGAGAAACAAAATCTGCTTGAAGAGGGACTGAAGGGTTTCTACCCTAATGGATTTCCCAAGTCGTTTGACCCTAAGAATGTTGGACTCCTAGAAGTGGTCATTCTTGCACACTTACGGGTATATGAGGCTCGGGAAGAAGTCATTGGATTTAAGGTCATAGACCTTCAAATAACTCCACTCATATATTCATGCATAAGAGCAATGACTGAGATACCTGAGGTGAAAGAGGTGAGCAATCCTCATGAGAAAGTGGTGGCTTTCCTCAAGTTTTTCAGAAATAAAGCTATTAAATCTTCTGACTGAAGAATAATCCTGCTACTTGGGTCTTTTCTGACCAATGTTTTGTTGTAATTTGTAAAAGAATAAAACGATTAGTATCGCGATTTTTGATTGAGGTGATAAGTCAGAAGACTAAATGCGGTACATGTAATGTTACTATTTATGAAAAGGGTTGTACGACCATGGACGTTATATATTCTTTTTTTTTTTGTCGGATTTGAAATCCCCCTTTTTATTGATGAAATAAATAACTAGTTCACATGAATCTTTGTAAGTATCAATTCAATTTTTTTTTTTTGTTTGGAAGCCAATTCAATTTCTTTATGTATTTAAGAACACATTTCATTCAATTGACCAAAAAAAAAGAACACATTTCATTTTGTTTAAGTGTAAGCAGGATTTTAACACTGGATGACGATGTTACTAATTTCTTCATGTCAAACATTACTAACACGTCATATTAAAAAGGGAAATTTAACGAAAAGCTCCCGGTACTGTTCATTTTAACGAAAAATCACATTTTTACACTAAAAAGTCTTGGTACTATTCATTTTACCCTTTATTTTGTCCATATTGTTAAAACTCAAAGTTTTCAAATCATTTTTATTAATTTTCCTTATTAAAAAACATACTTATAAAAAGTGCAAAACGACTTTTTGAAGCGTCAATAATATATTTCATCGATAATTATTAATTAATAATATTTAAAATGTGCGCGACCCAAACAAAAGAAAATAGAACGGGCCTGCTATTGTTCTAAAGCATTTGGTCCAGCCCAATATGAGTTTTTGGGCCCCGTTGACATCGACCATCTTTATTACTACATGTCAATAGATGAGTGGGTGGGTATCTGTACTATTCCCGTCTGTTCCCGCAGCGGATTATAACCCCACCCCCCAAAACCCTACCCCTTTTGTACTCTCTCACACACAGTCGCATTTGTCACTTGAGGAGCGAGACAGAGAGAAGAGAGAGGAGAGAGAGAAAGAGAGCGGTAGGGTTTTAGAGAGAGAGAGAGCACCAGAATTCAGAAGCTCGAAGAAAGATGGTGGCGGACAAGGGCAAGAAGCTGAAGCTCTCAGAGAAACCCGAGGACGAGAACGCCGACCACATCGACGAGAAGCTCGTCCTCTCCATCGAGAAGTTGCAGGAGGTCCAAGACGAGCTCGAAAAGGTTGTACCTTCATGCCTATCTCTGCATATTCTTGTTGTACTTTCATAATTGAACCAAACGGAAGAAACGGTTTCGGTTTTGGCGATGTTCTTGTGGGAAATTTCTGCCGATTCAGGGTTTTTGTGTTCTTGTTTTTGAATTTCAATTGGTTTCGCAGCATGCATGAGTCGAAAAGGGATTTGATTTTCGGGTTTTGATTTTCTGGGTATAGGGAAATTAACCCAGAAAAGGATCTGATGGTGGTGTGCTTGGTTGATAGAAAACTGGATTTGTTTGTTTGTTTTAAGAATTTAAAGCGGCTTGGTTATATAGACGGCCATAAGCGGAAGCTCCGTGCTTTGCGTTCTCGTATATGTTGTAGCGCAGTGGATGCTCTGAACAATTATTGCAATTGTTAACTGTGGAATGTGTTTCGTTTTTGTGAAGTTTGAATTGTTGGCATCCGGTGTTAGATTTTCTCCTTGTTTGTTTATCCTTACCATAGGTTGGGTTTACATTCGACTAGGGAATAAATGGGGAAGGACAAGAACTTTAAGGTTTGACATTTTGTGAAGTTTGAATAGCATGAAAATATAGAGAAGAATATACGATTTTTGTAGCTTCTGATCGTAAGAGCCCCTCATCAATTCTTTCCTATTTTGAAAAGAAATTGCGAGGGTAAACTCAGCATTGGATAACGGTTGGCGGTTTTTCTCTTGTCTTGAACCCCGAAGAAAAAGTTGATCTTGTAGAAAGAACGCCAAAGATCAATGGAGATTGGGGAGTAACTGATCTTCTTCTAGTTGAAGACAAAATCCGGTAGCCAATCTTTGGCCTTGAATAACCAGCTCAGCAATAAATTCAATTATTCCATTACATAATTGGGCAGGGTTGCACCTGACAAGTGACGTAAGTGCATACACTGTCAGCTCGATAAGGAAAATATAGAGTTATTTTCTTTCGTGTTCTGTACCAATTTTCATGTTTATTAATTTAACCATACAACTGATAGCTGCTAAACTGAACAGAGTTATAGTATGTGAACCCATGCTACATTTTTCACCTTGTGGCTTTGTTCGTAAGGTGAGGCATTTCGTAATTATGAATGTGCATTGCTTTGTTATCTTTTAAATGAATTATGTTTCTTATAAAAATGTCCATTGATTTGAATTTTTATAACCGGACAGGGTCATTTTTAGGTTCTGAGACATGTTTTAGGCTTTTAGCTGCTACAGTTCATTTGTATCAATTTTGACTTATGAATTATCGCTGTGGATCAACATTGTTCATTTGATTTTAATGTTTTCTTTTGAATGCTTTTTAGATCAATGAGGAAGCCAGCGATAAAGTCCTGGAAGTGGAGCAGAAGTATAATGAGGTACGCAGGCCGGTCTATGATAAGCGAAATGATATCATCAAGTCCATCCCTGACTTTTGGTTAACAGCTGTAAGTTATCTATCCTTATTTATATGCATATGTGAAGAATTTATTATGTTTAAGTGGCGTTTGAATAATTTACTTTCTCCGTACTCTGCAGTTCCTGAGCCATCCCGCGCTTAGTGAACTTTTGACGGAAGAGGATCAAAAGGTTTGCATTTATTGTGACTCTGAAATTATTTAGTGCATTTTTCTGTTTATACCTTTAATTAATCCCTCAATCGTGAATATTTGTTGGTGGTCATTGATTATGCAATTCAATTACTCGCATCCCCTTCTTGCTCTTCCATAACCAATGAAATTATGGAGATTATTTCTATGTAATCTTTCAGATTTGATTCTTGTTTGCTTAGTATGGATTCATCGTTCTTTTTGTTTCATAGATTTTCAAGCATCTGACTTCTCTGGAAGTTGAGGACTTCAAGGACGTGAAATCTGGTTACGCCATCACATTTGTGAGTTCTCTCTTTTCCTATTCCATAGTATCTTTGAAGTGTATCAAGGGCATATTTTATGTTTTATTTTAGTTAATGAATATACTGAGATTGTAACCAAATTTATTATTTAATTGTACAGGTCTTCAGTCCCAATCCTTATTTTGAAGACACAAAGCTTACGAAGACCTTTACTTTCCTTGATGAAGCAACAAAAGTTACTGCTACATCCATAAAATGGAAAGAGGGAATGGTATAAGATTTGTCTTGCATTCAGCTTATATTTCTGGTCAATTATGTTGGGGTATTACGACTTACTGCATACCTGATTTGTGAAGGGCATTCCTAATGGAGTTAATCATGATAAGAAAGGGAACAAGCGACCTCAGGTTGAGGAAAGGTTCGTTAATGGAACCTGTTAGGATGGACCTCCAGAAAATACTTTTATTAGTCTTTCGAATTACCTCATATTGACTGAAATTCCAATTCTTGTTTTCTATGCAGCTTCTTTAGCTGGTTTAGTGATAGTCAACAAAAAGATATTTTGGAGGATGAGATTCATGACGAGGTTAGTTTGTAGTTATATTTCAATGTGGTAGCGAGAGCTATGTGTCAATCTCAACATTTTCTTACTCATATGGTACCTTTCTGAACTTCCACATCACACTGCAGATTGCGGAGGTTATTAAGGAGGATTTGTGGCCCAATCCTCTGACTTACTTCAACCATGTAACTTCTGCTTTACCACTTCCCCATTTCTCAATCATAATTTAAGTATTGCGTGGAAGCTTTTACTGCTTGCCTAATTTTCTAATGGTAGCTCATGACCTCTTTGACGTAGGAGGCTGATGACGATGAGGAATTTGATGATGAGGAAGTTGATGAAGAGGTAAATGCACGGATCCTTTTAGGTTTACATGTCAAGTGAAAATACTATAAATACAGACAACCTTTATGCTAGATTAACTGCTAATGGAATCTGTACTTTCTAAAACTTAAATATTTGTGGCATACAAGATCTTGAGCCTCACATAAAGATTTTTTTGTAGTTTCTAAAGCCTACATATTTAAGCGTTGCTGTGTCATTCAAAAGTGAAGAAAAATATTTCAGATGTTATTTTCTGGCTTAATCGTTATTAAGTCTTTGCCATGAACTGCATAAATGCATAAGAAATGTTTGATAAATTGAACCTCACATGCAGAACCCATACTAGTAGCTTTTGGCATCCTTGGAAAGAGTAAATTGCTTACCCTTGGTGACCTGATGTTGCTGATATTGTACTTGTGCAACTCGTGCATTGCTACATTTGTGTGTGTAATTTAATCTCGTAGAGTCCTCGTTCATCTAGGTTCTGTATTACGTAAGGGCATATATATAGTCACCTTTCAGTAATTTCAGTAGTTGAGTGTGGCTGTTTACTGTGCTTCCATTTGAACTGTCTGGTAAATGCCCTTTATGATCTGTTATAACTAGTCAAATGAAGATTATAGTAGGAAATCGGATATCTTAATCTTTGAGGTTTGATTATTGGCAGGGAAAGAATGAAGACGACGACACTGAAGATGATGAGGATGACCAAGATGAGGATGAAGATGGTGACGAGGATGACGGAAAATAAACATTCATCGGGGTCTTCAAATCTTTTAACATTTGCTGTTTTGTTAACAGCTTGTGTAAAGTGAGTCTACAGTATTAGATAAGTCTAGTCTAAGGTGACAGGGGATGACCATCATAACTCTTGACAGCGTTCTGTCATGTAGGCGCCCGACTGTTGCCATAGGCCGGTCTGGTTTTTCGACTCTGCTGTTACTATCTCCGTGGCGTTTCTCTGTTACAGTAGGGTTATTTTTGTGGCTTCTCCCTGATATGCAGGTCTCTAGATGACAATATTATAATGGTCTTTTCCTTTTGGTTTTTTGAATGCCATCAATGAGGATATATATTATGGAGTTGGGAAGTTCTCTGGCATCATTTTATTGTTTGATTCTACAAGTATTA